GGCCAAGATACGATACTCAAATGGTACCTTGCTAATTCATAGCCAATGCATTATTGTCCCACTGTCGTGGGTTGTCCCAAACAACGACTTCACATGTGTCACTTGTGTCTTCAATACAATACGTAAACATGAGTATTCCCTAAACGGGAAGTCCACGAGTTGTAATAACATCAGATACGAATTCTTTCAACAATATATTCTGTTACAGTGATAAAAATAGGTGAAACATGTGATCGGGCCAGTAATAGATGTATCACACCGCTATCAAGGTGTATTGATAATAAATGTGAATGTTATCGAGGATTTCTACCATCAGTTAACAATACATTCTGTAAACCAGAAGATTATCCTGACTACGGTATAACAACACCAATCCTGGGTGAAAACTGTGACTTTGGTGCTAATCGCTGTGTTATGAAAGGAGAACAGATCTGCAGTTCGTCGGGGAAATGTGAATGTAGAACAGGTCTAAGACCAGCAACGTACCTGGACCAGTTGGCGTTGTATTACGATATGAGACAATGTCGAAACGCTTCAGTTCCCGAGGGTATGTTACTACCATATTAATCACATCTGCCCCCTCCCCTCCCCCTCTCTCTCACGGCATGAATCTCTTGACAGATAAACGAGATCACCATCTGCCAAACCTATTTAGCACGTGGTGAAAGTTGTCTTTTTTCAGGCTTGGGCGTCTCCAGTCGTATTTCATCATCATGATTTTCCACTAAATTCAATATTTAAACTATTTGTAGGCTACAGACCGCCGATATCCTGCTCTGATCCCCCATTACCATTGGAAGGAAAACCAGATTTTGATTTACCAGATAAACCTAGCTCTGGTGAGTACCGGATACTTATATATTGACAACAGATATCTCAGGCTACTAACATTAGGTTATATATTGACAACAGATATCTCAGGCTACTAACATTAGGTTATATATTGACAACAGATATCTCAGGCTACTAACATTAGGTTATATATTGACAACAGATATCTCAGGCTACTAACATTAGGTTATATATTGACAACAGATATCTCAGGCTACTAACATTAGGTTATATATTGACAACAGATATCTCAGGCTACTAACATTAGGTTATATATTGACAACAGATATCTCAGGCTACTAACATTAGGTTATATATTGACAACAGATATCTCAGGCTACTAACATTAGGTTATATATTGACAACAGATATCTCAGGCTACTAACATTAGGTTATATATTGACAACAGATATCTATAAAAAGCGATATTTACTTCAAATATTTTCATTCTACAGATTTAAAGATAAACCAGCTAGTAATGTATGTATTGGTGCCTGTAGCAGTCATAGCAGCCGCTGTCATGGCAATAATATACACTGTTATTAGACGGAGACAGTAAGTTGGTTTCTTATTTAAGATTTCTTGGAATAATCTCTGTCCATTTCTACCGAATGGTAACCATGTTCCATCCTGCTACATCTTTATCTTACGAAAAATATAAAGTTTGAATGTATGGATTCTGAAATATTGTCTGGTCCGATATCAATACTAAGATCCCCAGTAAATAGCGACTTCACCTGTACCCATGGCGGTACCTAATTTTTCCTTTTATTTTCAGAAGTCTGGCTCAAAAGAATGACGACACTTCCTCTGTGGGTAGTGAAACCAATAGCATATCTAGTTTTCATCTACCACGTCCACAATTCAACCTCAGTCGGTTCCGTAGTGACCAAACATGGTCTGAGCCACAAACCAAATATAATACCCCAAGAGTTCATAGGCAGTAGAATTTCATTTTTTTTTTTCTTGGAAACCTATCAATATTTTACTAGGGCAGCTTTCGACCAAATGATTTAAGAGTTTTATAAGTGTAGAAATAAATATAAATAAAGAGACTGGTCAAGATGTTTTCATCAGCTTTCATATCAAATAGGCTGAACTTCAATTGTCCAGGCCTTTCTGTAATGACCTCATTGCCAATGACAAACATGTGAATTTAAAATGGGATCACATATTTTAATCGTATACATAATTTATCCACATTTCAATATAACAAAATTCTGTTTTATACAGTAGCACTATGATACACGTTATAGATTCAGTAGAAAACAATGTCACACTCTAAACAAGTTGATGATGTTGCTATACAAGGCAGTCACTCTTGAAGAAAAGGTAATTTAACCCACCGTATACTGTATAATCGTTAAAAACATAGAAAACTGTGATATTTGATAGTACACATTAAGTCAAACCTAATTTGTAGATTCCTAGAAAATACAGCTCAATGAATCATCCTACTATCAGTGTTGTCTACATATAATTTGTACTGATGTATTTTACTTCTAGATCCATCAGGGTCCATTGATAAACACAGGGCTCACTGGTAGACCAAATTTGTCATCATTAACTACCAATTGAAGCCAATATAAATTCTTTTCTCATGATTAAGCCATTATAGATGACCATTAAGTCTTTCCTATGATACTAACTGTTTTACTTCTGATTCTTCGTCTGTATTTTTACTTTCACTTGGTAATGGTAATGGATTCTGAAGAATAAAATAATATATCATCTCAAATTAATGATAATTCTAAATTATTATATTTTTGAAGTATGAGAACTACTTCATTAATATTCTGAATGTCTGGAGCTAGGATTAGCCATCTTCATAATGTCACACTATCTATTGCATCATCTTTCAGTAAGTTTGATAATGCAGCTATTTCATTGCATTGTACAAAATCTATTACAGCCAATCAGCTCCCATGATAGAAATTCTATATGATATAATGCATGTAACTACTAGTTAATTGTGTTTTCTAATAGGGAGTTTGATTGGCTATATATTCAGATGTTACAAGGGAGATAAATCATATATTAGGTGTTGTACAACTTTCAAACATAAATACCTAGCACTATCAGGAACCCCTTTCTAACTGATATCCTTTATAATATATAAATAAGACCTGTCAAATACTTACCAACTTAGAAGCTCGCTGACAGAGTAGATTATATGTCCAATAATGCATCTGTAATAGACAATTCATCAACATAATTATTATTCAAAACAATTAATATTAATATTGTACCATCCCTGAACCTCCCAACCTAAAAACCTGTTGTCTTCTAATTCAAGGCAATTTGTCATGTTATAAGTTTATCAGGAAATACTTCATACTACTGGCAAGTTGTATAGATTAATAAATCACACGAAGTGACTGACCTATACACCAATAAATCACACGAAATGACTGACCTATACATCAATAAATCACACGAAGTGACTGACCTATACACCAATAAATCACACGAAGTGACTGACCTATACACCAATAAATCACACGAAGTGACTGACCTATATACCAATAAATCACACGAAGTGACGGACCTATATACCAATAAATCACACGAAGTGACGGACCTATTACCAATAAATCACACGAAGTGACAGACCTATATACCAATAAATCACACGAAGTGACGGACCTATATACCAATAAATCACACGTAGTGACGGACCTATATACCAATAAATCACACGAAGTGACAGACCTATATACCAATAAATCACACGAAGTGACTGACCTATATACCAATAAATCACACTAAGTGACTGACCTATACACCAATAAATCACACGAAGTGATCGACCTATACACCAATCACACAAAGTCAAAAACTTACCTCAGTTTGTGTAGGTATTGCGACACCCTGAACACGATGTAATCTACCTAATACAGGATCTTCTATTGGGTGTATCTTAAAATATAATTAATAAAAACTAACGACATGTAAAAATACTGCAACTAACAAAAGTTTATATCATCTTTCAATATAAATGATGACTATTGACAGCAATATACTGTTTATAAGACATATAGAAATAGGTAAAGAAGCACAAGATATATAGATATACCATTTCTGTATTTATTATTCATTATTTTTCTATATATATTGTTAGACTCGTTGTATTATTCATTTCTCTTGATAACACTGTCTGTTTGAACATGTGAAGTGTTGAGTTAATAAATGTTAGAAATAGTATATCTATATATCTAGTGATTCTATATAATATTTGATAACACTGTCTGTATGAACATGTTAGAAATAGTATATCTATATATCTAGTGATTCTTTATAATATTTGATAACACTGTCTGTATGAACATGTGAAACATTGAGTTAATAAATGTTAGAAATAGTATATCTATGTATCTAGTGATTCTATATAATATTTGATAACACTGTCTGTATGAACATGTGAAGTGTTGAGTTAATAAATGTTAGAAATAGTATATCTATATATCTAGTGATTCTATATAATATTTGATAACACTGTCTGTATGAACATGTGAAATGTTGAGTTAATAAATGTTAGAAATAGTATATCTATATATCTAGTGATTCTATATAATATTTGATAACACTGTCTGTATGAACATGTGAAACATTGAGTTAATAAATGTTAGAAATAGTATATCTATGTATCTAGTGATTCTATATAATATTTAATAACACTGTCTGTATGAACATGTGAAATGTTGAGTTAATAAATGTTAGAAATAGTATATCTATATATCTAGTGATTCTTTATAATATTTGATAACACTGTCTGTATGAACATGTGAAACATTGAGTTAATAAATGTTAGAAATAGTATATCTAGTGATTCTTTATAATATTTGATAACACTGTCTGTATGAACATGTGAAACATTGAGTTAATAAATGTTAGAAATAGTATATCTATATATCTAGTGATTCTATATAATATTTGATAACACTGTCTGTTTGAACATGTGAAACATTGAGTTAATAAATGTTAGAAATAGTATTTCTATATATCTAGTGATTCTTTATAATATTTGATAACACTGTCTGTATGAACATGTGAAACATTGAGTTAATAAATGTTAGAAATAGTATATCTATATATCTAGTGATTCTTTATAATATTTGATAACACTGTCTGTTTGAACATGTGAAACGTTGAGTTAATAAATGTTAGAAATAGTATATCTATATATCTAGTGATTTTTTATAATGTTTGATAACACTGTAGATGATATAAACAAGTCGCTAGGGTTGAATGGGTTAATAATGCTCAGGAATTGAAGACAATACATTTGAGTTGAATTACAAGAGATTCCTAACGTTGTATTTTAATAATGAAATCTGTTGTGGATGCTGAAAGTGTAAATTGATTATAACTTACAGCTGTGACATTAAATCTACCAATCTGTCCAGTACTTGAAATACACGGCCCTCCTGTCATATCAATAAAATCTCCAACTCTGTATAATGTAACTGATTTTCCACTTTTAGATTTCTGAGCTATATCTGATATTTGATTATGTTTATATTGATTGTCTGTAAATATTTCTCTAGCTATAGAAACATCCACTGTTAAACGTTCAAATTGTAAATCTTTGTAATGAAGTCGATATCCTATAGTTGATAAACTATTCAATTCCATCTGTAAAATAAAATATAGGTAAACCATGCCACACAATATATTATAACAATAAAATAAGTTGTCTGATAAAGTTCAATTTCAGCTGTCTCACTTTTCAGAATTCAAAACTAGAAACCTGTTCTCCTACAATTCAACTAAAATGCTCTGTGAAAGTTAAGAGTTATGTGACTGCACCTGAGAAGAAATTATTCCATCAACATTGTGTTTAACTTGGGAATTGAGCCATCATTAAAACAATATTTATCAAAGACATTTCCTTAATGTTAAAACTAATAGTCACTGTTATATCAACTTACTGAGGTTGGCTTCCAATCTGGCATTTTTAAATCAACATCATAAACAAAACTTCCAGTTTTTACTGAAAAACACAAAATATTATTGAGTCAATATTTATAATTATTCACTCTCTTCTTATGACATAATTATTGAAGCAAGAATATTGGTATATATCTGAGGAGATTTAAAACATTAACAAGATCAGTCCACATTGTTTTCAGGTAAAATACAGTAAATTACTGACTTTATAAAATTGATATTATTCTCATTACTACTTACACTTCCTAAAATATATCTAGACAGCTTGTTTTTTTATATTTTCAACCAAACCCAGATCTTAACCTGATTATAAACAAGTATAAAACATCTTGTTTCACTTCGCAGGTAAAGAAATTTTGATTTTAGAAGCCAAGTAACTTACTGTTAATTTGTGGAAAACTGACTAATTCTATGTAATATTTATCTTGAAATGCTGTTTCTAAAACATTTCCTAACACTAATGTACATGATCTCCAAAAAGCCTGAAATAAAAAGAATTGGAAATTTGTGTCCTGTTCTGTAAGATAAATCAACATGACTTTCAAACCTGCCAATAAACACGCTTATATGTAGCGACATAGCCACTCTAATCATTTGTTTCGTATATGAAACTTGTGAATATTATATCTATTATATCTTGTATAATTGGTTGTTTTCATTTGTTTAATAGAAAGCTATTTGGATAAAGTGAGCCACAGTTCAATCTGTTTATTGATAAGGGAAAAGGTTTAAATGACAGTAGTTATTGTGTAATGCACAATGATAAAAATTTCAGATAGGTTGAATGGATTTGATCTGACATAACAATTTAATACTTACATTATTGGCTATTGCTGGGTTATTATCTTCAAAATTTGAAAATTCTAGTGTACAATCTTCTGTTAATGGCCGATGCATATCCCAAGGTTTAGAATTCACAAAAGCTAAAGCTGACCTAGTTGTCAATATTTCTTGAATATCTGCAAAGAAAGCAAACTGCAGCTTTAAAAGATTGGTTTAAAACAAAACTGTTTCTATATACTATAATTAATATTAAAGAGAAGGCAACTTGATTTTACACTAAAAATTGATTAAGAGCTCAATTTAAAAATAGATTAGATCAATGTAAATAGGCTTAAACAGATTGGAGATTACCTTTATTCAAATCACTTGAACTTACGCATAGCACAATGATATGGAGTTGAAATTCCTTTATTCATTAGAAGTGAACAGTCTTCAGGTGGTCCCCTGACATCAACATTTATTTTCTCTATTCTAATGATACTATTCTGTTGTCTTAGTTTTTCTTCATCAAAGATTTCATTTCTCTTTACTTTGACTGCTGTGTTGGTTGACTGGGAACATGCTGAGTAGCATCCTTAGAAATTAAAAAACATATTCGGGAAATGTTTTAAGTTACAAAATAATATTACTAATAGTTTAACAAATACATCATATTACATGTCATTTGTTTCAGAATGTTATTGATTCAATACAATTATAAGATCAGGGTTAATAATTTCATATTTAAAATGAACAAACTTTCGCGAGAAACCCCCTTCCTTGAAAAATCATAAATGCATTTGATAAATTTTCCATAGATATTTATTTTCATTTACTCAAAGACATTATAGTTTTATCTGCAATAAATTAAATAATGTTAGGCAAAATGCGATTCTGTAATTTGTAAACATTGAGACTAGACAGGCAGTTTTTCGGTGTTACAGGAGTATTGTCATACTAGATTGACAAGAAATGTTATGGAGAAACTATGAGAGCCACTTAATTTATTTAAATTTAACGAACTTTTTAAGGTTTCTTTTAAAAAATGGTTTTGTAACAGTGATTTTCGGCGTGCAATGGAGGCAGCCATCTTGGAATTATACAGGAAGTAGTTTCCGGTTACCTGCCCCTGTTTTGTTACGCATGCGCAAATCTATAGCAACTAAGCTGGTAAATAGAAAACGTCCATTGACAACAGTTGGGTTGATAGTTTTCTGCTTGTTATTTTACCACAGATTTTCTTTCAATCTGATCAAATAATAATAAAAATACATCATGGTAAGTAGTGTTGATCTTGATATCGGAATCAATTTGTTTTACAATTCGGATTTACTGGGAAATGGAAAGTAAACAGTAGACAGTTATTGATAGATTGAAATAATGAAAATGTTTGTGAATGGTATTTTGGCTTAATGTGGCAGACTTTGAGAATCTAATCTGAACATTATTCTGGTGTGATTGTTTAAATTAATATCTGTTATTTTATTGTCTTTGTTGTCTCCTGGGTATATAGTTACATATTCACGTTCAAAGAATCGAATTTTTATAATTGATTGGCCACTCTAATGCTTGAGTTGATGGCATGTTTGATAGTCTTAGCCACACCTCTGACCTGATAGACATAGCCACACATCTGACCTGCCTCACCTCTGACCTGATAGACATAGCCACACATCTGACCTGCCTCACATCTGACCTGATAGACATAGCCTCACATCTGACCTGATAAGACTCTATTTTGACAATTATTGATTCAATGAGTACTAGTACTATATAGTAATTATCTGATTTAAATATTTTTTTATTTCAGCCCGGCAGTGCTATTTCTGCTAGCAGCTCTGTTTCATCTGCAACTCGTAGAGCTAGAACCAGGCAATACAGAACTGTTAGTAACCATTCTCAGATAGATGAGACATTATTTGGAGAATCAAACAGTGTCTCTAAGAGAAATGAAATGTTGAAAGACAAATGGGCAACTGGTGGAACAAATATAGAACGTCAAGCAGAAGAGAGAAATGTAAGGAGAAAAAGTGGTGGTAAAAATGGAAAAAATAATAAAGAAACTGTTCGAGTTATTACAAAGGATTTGATTAGAAATTTAATGTAAGTTCAAACACTTCTTTACCTAAAGTCACTTTTAGTAGTAGTTGTACGTCTGTTTAGTGGTACGTCTGTTTAGTAGTAGTGGTACGTCTGTTTAGTAGTAGTGGTACGTCTGTTTAGTGGTATGTCTGTTTAGTAGTAGTGGTACGTCTGTTTAGTGGTACGTCTGTTTAGTAGTAGTGGTACGTCTGTTTAGTGGTACGTCTGTTTAGTAGTTCTATAATTTCAGTTATCATTGTCTACAGTATGATATAATATAATTTCAGTTATCATTGTCTACAGTATGATATAATATAATTTCAGTGTACCAACTGAAGATCCCAGCGGTCAAAGTACTGTTATGAGTAGAGGTGATTATTATAGGATTCTTCAAGCAGCCAGAGTTTATACCAAGGAAGAAAAAGAAGCTCAGTTGGAAGCTTTAAAGAGACAGAAAGAACAAGCTCTGGTATGACAATATTTAGTTTATCTTTCTTTAGTACTGTTAAATTTTCAACATAGTTCTAGGTTGGTCAATATAATTGTTTAATATTCCAGGATGAAGCCCAAGAAAGAAAGAATTTTATGAAATCCATGGATTTAAGCAGACGGAAAAATGAAAAGTTAAATGAACTTGAAGAAGAAGCTAAGCTTAAAGCAGAACATTTATTAGCTAAAGCCAATGAAATGAGACAAGAACAGGAAGATGAAATCAAACATCTTAATGAAGTAAGTTGTTTCTTTCTGGATATATCTATAGTATTATAAACCAATCTTGTCCACTGGCAAATCTGAAAATAATTTCACACAAAATATGTAACTGATTTTACACAAGAAGTAGGCATAAGCTTGGAATCAATGGATTTGAACCACTGAGACTTTAAATGGTTTGAACTGTCACAGCATGTTAAATGCTAAATGTCATGCTATATTCTGTTTCAGTTGATATTAAATGCTAAATGTCATGCTATATTCTGTTTCAGTTGATATTAAATGCTAAATGTCATGCTATATTCTGTTTCAGTTGATATTAAATGCTGAATGCCATGCTTTATTCTGTTTCAGTTGATATTAAATGCTAAATGTCATGCTATATTCTGTTTCAGTTGATATTAAATGCTAAATGTCATGCTATATTCTGTTTCAGTTGATATTAAATGCTAAATGTCATGCTATATTCTGTTTCAGTTGATATTAAATGCTAAATGTCATGCTATATTCTGTTTCAGTTGATATTAAATGCTAAATGTCATGCTATATTCTGTTTCAGTTGATATTAAATGCTAAATGTCATGCTATATTCTGTTTCAGTTGATATTAAATGCTAAATGTCATGCTATATTCTGTTTCAGTTGATATTAAATGCTAAATGTCATGCTATATTCTGTTTCAGTTGATATTAAATGCTAAATGTCATGCTATATTCTGTTTCAGTTGATATTAAATGCTAAATGTCATGCTATATTCTGTTTCAGTTGATATTAAATGCTAAATGTCATGCTATATTCTGTTTCAGTTGATATTAAATGCTAAATGTCATGCTATATTCTGTTTCAGTTGATATTAAATGCTAAATGCCATGCTATAAGAGATGCACAGATAGTTGAGAAGAAACAAATTGTGTCTGAAATGAGCGAAGAAGAAAAGAGATTAGATAAAATGATGGAAGTAGATCGTCAGAATGCTATTTTGATACAAGAGGAAATAGAGAAGAAACGTAAAGAGGAACAGTTGATTGGTGCTGCTAAACTGATGGAACAGATTCAGGTATGTTGAGTTATGTCATTGTGTTGATATCATTTCTACAGACAATGATCAGGAACACCAGATGTCACTTTACAAATTGACTCTATAACTATTAATACATCTTTCATTTTTATCTTTAGGAAAATGAACAAGAACATTTATTTGAATTGGAAAAGAAAGATCAAGAAAATGTTCACATGCAAAAATACATCGAAAAATTGATGGATGAAGACAGACTTAGTTTAGAAAAGAAGAAAAACGAACAGACCTCCTTGAGAGTAAGTTTTGTTATAGATGTTTTGGTTACCAGGTAACCTCTCTCGAAGGCACTGCCTGTAGCATCAAAACAGCTTTCAATATTCCTCCTATATGCATTATGGGTATATATTTTTCTTTTCCCTAAAGCAGATTTTTCTTTCAATTCAAAAGGAAAAGACCTGAACAGAATATCCTTTTATAATCATCTTTGGTTGTCAAGGTATTTTATGTGGTTTCAAGTTCTCATTTGAAGAAAACTGATATATGTATATCATGATTTGAAATGACAATGTTGTATATTTTTAGAGTGAATTAAACAAGGCCAATGATGAATTATTAAAAAGAAAAGTTGTAAAGAAACAACAAGAACAAATGGAAGAGCTGAAAGTCATTGAGTATCAGAAACAGAAGGCTGTAAGTAATATTTGACTTCAAACATAAATACAAATATAATATAGTTGACAATGGTATAGATCTATTTGATTAAGATACATACTTCTATCAAGTACCGTAATGTTAACATTTTATACCACCAACAACAACTCAATATCTGATTCTTATTGTAGGAAAGAGAAGCCATCTTTGAAAAAGAACAAGAAAAGAAACGAATTGAAAAGGAGAAAGAGGTAGCTAGATTGCGAGCTTTGCAAGAGAGAGCTCGAGATGAACAATCTGAAAGAGATGCTCTCCGAGCTAAACGAGCTCAAGAACAAGCTGAAAGAGAATGGAGACAGAAAGAAGCTGAAGCTATGATGAAGAAGGCCAATGTTGAAGCAAGCTTAAAACAAGCTCGAGCTAACCAGATGAATCAGAAAGAACATTATCTTGGTGTTCAAGCTCAACGCGAACGAATTGAATTTGAAAGAGTCCTTAAGTAAGTATATTTCAATAATTTTTGTAATATACATGCACATATCAATTTTGCCTCTCGAAAAATAAAGTATTGACATTTTGGTTTTATAACAATGTGGTTGATGTTGCTGACTCAGTAAGAATCTATTTAATGTATTTGGGACTTCAATTCTGATTTGGTGTAAAAATATAATAACATGATTTAGTTCATAGTGTTATTAATTCTCTATATCTTGTATATAGTATAAATTAACATAATTTATATTGTGTTGTAGAGCTCAGAAAGAATTAGTGGAGAAAGAAAAGGCTCACGAAGAAAGATTAAGACGAGGCAGATTGCTACATGCTGATGATGTCAGATCTCAGATCAATATGAAGGAAAAACATAAAATAATGGAAAGGAACCAGTTTTTCGAGGAGGGTGTAAAACTCGATCAAGAGGCTAGATTACGAAGACAGAAATTAGAGGAAGTTAAACGTAACAAATTACACGAATTAAGGTCAGTTTCAATCAGTGAAAATACTCTATGACAGGTCCTAGCATACACCCTCTAATATATATAGTGGAGGGCTGAAGACCTTACAGCTCTAAGACCAGGAACTGTGTTATCTGCAAATTTCATTTAAAGAGAGAGGGGGGATGGATTTCTAGTTACTTTTTGGATTCAAAATAATACTGACATTGTCTATATCATCAGAACATAGTTTCATTAGCCTACAGCAGTTACAGCAGAGAAAGATGGAAGACTTTTTTAAACTCATTTTGTTTTTCAGGTCTGCTGGTATCCCTGAGAAATATTTGGCTCAAGTGGAGAGGAAAGTGAACCAACCTCAACATGTAGCATCATAAAGAATCATAAACATTTACCTTAAACTCTCTCCAATTTTATTGAACTAACCCACACAATATTTAAATTTTATTTTGACAGATGTCAGAATATTGTCCTAGCCAAATGAACCTAAAAGCATTTCGTTCACAATGTAATAGTGTATATTTGTAGCTTCCATAACAAATATTTATACAGATCATCACTATGTACACATTGGGTCAAAATAAAATTATTTTCCAACAGCATTATCAATTTCCAAATTTACTTTAATATTTTATGACATTTGTAACTTAACTTAATTGTAAATATCCGGTGTGTCTAAGAACCCTGTTATAAGTCTGAGATAGCTAACTGGTATGTTTTATTTCCTAGGTTGTTTTTTACAATAGTAACCTCTAAATATTATTAGTACTTATTTCAAAATTATTTTTTTATTTGTCAGTATTGGGATTAACAACAGTTAAATTATTATTTATTTGTCAGTATTGGGATTAACAACAGTTTTTTTAAACTTCAGATGTAAGTTGAGGTGCCAAATTGTTCTGATTTTGCTATAAAAAAAAACTTTTAAAAGTTATGAGGAAAATAAATGCACTTACAGTTTTCACAGTATGAACAATCCATTGTATTTTGAAGATAGAATAAGTGGTAATCAATATGAAATGTTAAATTTATTTTACCTGGAAATGAAATGAACTGTTCATTTTGATATTGGTTGATAACTGGAGAATTTTAGCTTACAATAAACAGGAATATTTTTTCTCTATGTGATATTTGTAAATAGTAATGAGTTTTATTTCTGTATATAATATTATAATATATTTATTACTCTTACTCTCTTTAATAGCCACTGATTTGTAATGAGTCTCTCTTATTATTTTATGAATTAGCAAGAAGTTACTTTAACACAATTCTGTTCATTAGTGTTTGGCTCTTATTTTTAATTCAAGAAAGTTGGACTGGTTCCAGCATTGACAATTATCAGATGATCCTATGGTTCAGTTATTTGGTGCCAGATAACAACCATCAAACAACTTTGCCACATAATGTAACTTTGTAAAATCATAGTTATCAATATATATCAATATTTGTATCTCTTGAAGGATGCAGTGAAATAAATTAATCTTATTAGAAACCTTAGTTCTGCAGCCAAAACATCTTGCCGCCACATCGACTGTAAACATAATTAAAAGCAGTCCTATTCCTTCCAGTAATTAAACCACATGTATATTTTCAATTCCAATTTAATTACCTGAAAATAAGGTACATTGCTAGCTTTAAACCTAGCTGCTCAAAGTTGCCATACAATTGGAAAAACCACCAGGTCTGCAAGGCAAGCCGTGAGAGGGAATTGATTTCAATATAGCATAATATTTGATCAATTCACCTCAAAGAGAAAATGGAGTATAATACTAAAAAAAAAAAAAAAAACCTGGTCCGAGTCTGCGTAGTCATTGGTCCGAGTGTTAAAGAGGTGGTCTCACTTTTTTATTGAAAAGTTGTAAGAGTTTGGTATAAAATATTAAAAAAAAGGTCAATGTCGTTGAGAGCAATAAAATAGAGTTATCTCCCTTACAATATCAGTCTTTTGGATTTAAGTTGTCAAGAACAATATAATAGAGTTGTCTCCCTTACAATATCAGTCTTTTGGATTTAAGTTGTCAAGAACAATATAATAGAGTTGTCTCCCTTACAATATCAGTCTTTTGGATTTAAGTTGTCAAGAACAATAAAATAGAGTTATCTCCCTTACAATATCAGTCTTTTGGATTTAAGTTGTCAAGAACAATATAATAGAGTTATCTCCCTTACAATATCAGTCTTTTGAAGTCCTATGTCGTTGTGAATAAACTTATCTACCTTACAATGTCCTTAAATAGGGAAAATTAATTTTGAGAAACTAATTACCTCCATTAAATAGTGAAAATTAATTTTAAAGAGATTAATTAAATCCCTTAAATTGGAAATTACTTTTTAGAGACTAATAACCTCCCTTGAGTTTGAAAAATACTTTTTAGAGACTAATTAACTCCCTTAAATAAAAATAATTACCTCCTTGAACTATAAAAAACAATTTGAGAGATTAATTACCCCCCTTAAAATGTTAAAAGGAAATTTATAGAGACTAATTACCTCCTAAATTAGAAAATTTGTTTTAAAGAATATTTACCTCCCTTGAACTATAAAAATCAATTTGAGAGGCGAATTACTTCCCTTCAATTTGAAAATTGGTTTAATGAGACTTATTACCTCCTTTTAATTGGAAAATTGGTTTTAAGAGACTAATTACCTCCCTTAAATAGTAAAAAATATTTTTTAGAGACTATTTACCTTTCTTGAACTGTAATGGTAAATTTTTAGACTAATTACCACCCTTAAATAGTAAAAAATATTTTGTAGAGACTAGTTACCTTTCTTGAACTGTAATGGTAAATTTTTAGACTAATTACCACCCTTAAATAGTGAATATCAGTTTGAGAGACTAATTACCTCCCTTAAATTGGAAAATTACTTTTTAGAGACTAATTACCTCCCTTGAATTTGAAAATTACTTTTTAGAAACTAATTACCTCCCTGGAACTATATTAATCAATTTGAAAGATTAAATACCTACCTTACATTGATAAATTAATTTTATAGAGACTAATTCCCTCTTGGAATTTGGAAAATTAGTTTTTAAAGATTAATTATCTCCCTTAAATTAGAAAATTTCATATGAGAGACTAATTACCTCCCTTGAACTATAGAAATCAATTTGTGAGACTAATTACCTCCCTTTAAGTGGAAAATTAGTTTTGATAGACTAATTGCCTCCCTTAAATAGAAAAAAAATATTTTTAGAGACTAGTTAACGCCCTTTAACTGTAATGGTAAATTTTAGAGACTAGTTACCTCCCTTAAACAGTTAAAATTAATTTTATAGAGACTCCCTTAGATAGTGAAATTAATATCATAAGGACTAATTGCCTCCCTTAAATTGGAAAATTAATTTTTAGAGACTAATTACCTCCCTTGAATAGAAAAATTAGTTTTTAGAGACTAATTACCTCCCTTAAATTGTGAAATTAGTTTTAAGAGACTAATTACCTCCCTTAAATTGGAAAGAGACTATATACCTTCTTTGAACTATAAAGATCCATTTGACAGATTAATTATCTGCCTTAAATCATTAAAAATAATTCTATAGACACTAATTACCGCCTTAAAATTGGAAGATTAGTTTTTAGATACTAGTTACCTCCCTTGAACTGTAATGGTAAATTTTAGAGACTAAATACCTCCCTTAAATATTGAAAAGTAATTTTATAGAGAATTATTACCCCCCTTAAATTGGAAAAGTACTTCTATAGAGACTAATTACCTCCATTTAATTGTTAAAATTGATTTTATAGAGACTAATTACCTCCCTTAAATTGGAAAAGTACTTCTATAGAGACTAATTACCTCCATTAAAATAGAAAATTAATTTAAGAGACAAATTACCTTCCTTAGATAGTGAAGATTAATTTTCAGAGACTTATTACCTCCCTTAAATTGGAATTTTAGTTTTATAGAGACTAATTACCTCCCTTAAGTAGTTAAAATTAATTCTATAGAGACTAATTACCTCCCTTGATTTGCAAAAGTACATTTTAGAGACTAATTCAATTCGAAAATTAGTTTTTAGATAATAATTACCTCCCTTAAAAAGTTATTATTAATTTCAAAAGACTAATTACCTCCCTTAAATAGTAAAAAATATTTTTAGAGACTATTTATCTCTCTTGAACTGTAATGGTAAATATTTGAGTTTTGAGACTAATTAACTCCCTTTAATAGTGAAAATTGATTTTATAGAAACTACTTACCGCCTTTCAATTGGAAAATTAGTTTTTAGAGACTTATTATCTCCCATAAATAGTAAAAAATATTTTTAGGAACTAATTACCTCCCTTGAACTGTAATGGTAAATTTTAAGGCTAATTACCTCCCTTAAATGCTGAATAGAGACTACTTACCTCGCCTCAATTAGAAAATTATATTTTAGAAACTAATTTCCTCCCTTAAAGTGGAAAAGTACTTTTTAGAGATTAATTACCTCCCTTAAATATTGAAAATTAATTTTATAGATATTATTTACGTCCCTTAAATAGTTAAAATTAATCCAATAGAGACTAATTACCTTCCTTAAATTGGAAAATTAGTTTTTAGAGACTAATTACCTCCCTTGAACTATAAAAATCAATTTGAGAGACTAATTACCTAATTATTTACTATTCAAAGATGAAAACAGTCTCTTGATATAAATAGTTTTTTTTACAGTTCAAGTGAGGTAAATATTTTCTAAAATTATTATTTCACTATTTAAGGGAGGTAATTGGTGTCTAAACAATTTTTTTCACCATTTTAGGGAGCTTACTAGTCTATTAAAAATATTTTTCACAATTTAAGAGAGATAACTAGTCTCTTGAATTACAATATTGTTGAGAATTCTATGATAAATTCTGTAATAAATAATTACAATATCAGTTTATTGAAGTCAAGTTAGTCGAGATTAATATAATAGAGTTATCTCCTTTACCATATCAGTCTATTGAAGACAATGTTGTTGAGAATTATATAATAGAGTTATCTCCCTTACAATATCAGTCTATTGAAGACAATGTTGTTGAGAATTATATAATAGAGTTATTTCCCTTATAATATCAGTCTATTGAAGACAATGTTGTTGAGAATTATATAATAGAGTTATCTCCCTTACAATATCAGACTATTGAAGACAATGCTGTTGAGAATTATATAATAGAGTTATCTCCCTTACAATATCAGACTATTGAAGACAATGTTGTTGAGAATTATATAATAGAGTTATCTCTCTTACAATATCAGTCTATTGAAGACAATGTTGTTGAGAATTATATAATAGAGTTATCTCTCTTACAATATCAGACTATTGAAGACAATGTTCTTGAGAATTATATAATAGAGTTATCTCTCTTACAATATCAGTCTATTGAAGACAATGTTGTTGAGAATTATA